GGGAGGCTGAGGCAGGAGGATCGCTTGAGCCCAGGAGTTTGAGGTTGCTGTGAGCTAGGATGACGCCACAGCACTCTAGCCCGGGCAACACAGTGAGACTCTGTCTCAAAAAAAAAAAAAAAATGCTTTCAAGGGTTGCCATCATATGTTGTCACAAATTACCTATATTCAAATCCCATCTTATACCATGTATTTGTTACTCTGGGAGAAGGATACCCAGATTCAGAATGCCGGGACTAAAACTCCTTATAAAAGTTCAAATACAAAGAATAGTGTCAATTAAAGTAAAACAGTGTTTCTAAGTAATGTCATTGAAGAAAACAGGTATGTTCATTTAGACAAATATATATACTTTTAATAACAACTTTGAGCTCTAATTCACAAGCCATGTATATGTATATAGTTTGAGATAGAATACCCTACTACTTTTTATTAGTCTCAAAATATCACAGAATTTATTCTTCTTTCATGATGGTGGGAGAAAGAATGGGCTTGAGTATGGCATTTTGTTTTAAATGCTTATTTGTAAGTATGCACATGTACATTTATGAATATGCACACACAAGTCAGTTTCTTAGATTTGTAATAGCTATTGTTAAGGTTCTAATGGTGGGCAAGTGCCCAAAGCAAGAAGTTTAGCTGAGTTTTTATAGCTCTCTTACTGAGATGCTCTAACCAGTTTGTGTAATGGTTAACATGGTGTGCACTGGGCACTTACTTTGTTTTATTATGTAAATGGTCAAATTGAGTGTGCCTGGAGGGATAAGGAAAAGGCATTATGGCATTGTTTCTCATATTGTGTCAAGATGAAGTAACTGAACACAGGGGTTAAGATGATGGAGCTTATTAATTAGTCCTGACTTAATCTTTAGTGTGCTAAACTTACATAGATAATCCCCGACTTACAATGATTTATTTGATTTAGGATTTTTGACTTTACAGTGGGTTTATTGGGCTATTAAATGCATTTTCGACCTAAGATTTTTCCACTTACGATGGCTTTATCGTGATGTAGCCCCGTAAGTCAAGGTGCATCTATTTAGTGTGGTAAAGGTGAAGCCTTCCAACATTATGATAATGTATGAAACGTCTTTTCATGGGTAGGCTTTAAACAGTGATATAATTAATCTAATTCTAGACACTCTGTTATTTGGGTGGGTTGATTATGTTTATACAATGTTGTCAATTGTGGGAAACACTTGTTAATCATTAAAGTAGTTTTTCCAGAGAATTTGACAGGACTCACTTTTAATAAGGATTTATTCAGATATAATTCATATGCTACAAAATTTTCCCTTTTAAAGTGTACAGCTTGGTGACTTGTATATTGACAGAGATGTTCAACCATCGGCACTAATATCAGAACATTTTCATCACCCCCCAAAAAACAGCTTACCCGTTAATAACCACTTCCCCTTCCCCCCAACCACTATAATCTGTTTCTGTGGAGTTGCCTATTTCAAACATACTGTATAAATGGTATCATATAACACCATGGTCTTTTATGACAAGCTTCTTTCACTCAACATAATGTTTTCAGGGTTCATCCATATTGTAGGATATATCAGTACTTGTTCCTTTTTTATTGTCAAATGATACTCCATTATAAGAATAAACTACATTTCATTTATCCATTTCAGTTCATGGGCATTGGATTGTTTCCCCCTTTTTGGCTGTTGTGAATAATGCTGCTATGAACATTGCTGTACAAGTTGTTGTACTTCTCTGACTTTTTTAGTTCACTTACTAAAACATTCAGAAGAGTTGATAACCCCATAAAATAAGTGGAACTTACGCTGACAATATCTAAAATTAAGAAACTTAATTTTTGCCAAAGCCTCATCTGAACATGAAATGCTATGGGAATTTCCCTTCCCAGATAAGAAATATTCATTTAAGGAAGATGCAGAAATAGGGCTGCATTTTACAAGTAAGCTTCATTGCTTATAGTACCATAAGGCATCCTCTGTTTGGAAATAAAGAACTAGCTGCTAGTCTATAGATGTTTTCATTTCCAATAGCTGTCATCTGGTGCTTTTATTACTAATAGAGTAATAACAGGAAAACATTCTGAGGAGGAAAATAGAGGAAGCATATTTTATATCTGCCACACTTAATAACTGAAGATTCAGTTTATTGCAGTTACTTTTCTGCTAGTATACTTTATATAGGACTAACATTTCTTCTTTATTTGTCCTTTTATTTATTGAATGAAAACATTACTTAAGACAGTGGTTTTCAACTGAGGAGCATTTTATGATCCCAAAACTCTCCACCCCAGGGACATCTGGCAATGTCTGGAGGCATTTTTGGTTGTCACAGTGAGAAGGGGACTGGGGGGATTGCTACTGGCATCTAATAAGTAGAAGTCAGAGATACTGCCAGACATCCTGCAATGCGTGGGACAGTCGCCCATGACAAGAAATTACCCAAGTTAAAATGTCAATATTGCTGAAATAGAGAAACCCTGACTTAAGAATTAAGCTAATTAGCTATATTTATTTTTATATCTATTATAACAAATCCTGTTTATCTATTAAGAAGACCACAAACGTATTGTCTCTTGTTTAAGGACTTGTAGACTTAAAGAAAATTTGAAAAGATGCTTACTTTTTAAGATCTTTTATTTAACCTATATGGATATGTAAAGAGCTTGCAGTACGTGGTTCCCCCCTTCGTCGCCCCCTTCTGTATAAATAATCGGGATACATTTTGTTTTGTTAGGTGATTGATTTGTTAACTTTTTAACCAATTCACATATGATTTAGAGAAAATTAAAGAATTGAACCAGAGAATTAAAGAATTGGCAAGAGATTGATAAACCTGGAGCATTAAACAATGCTTTACTTGTAAAGCAGAGGGAATGTTGAAACCCTAAACTTGTAATGGGCCTAGGTATTGGAGGAGCAAAGGGCATGGCAGATTCAGATAACATCTCTCAGTTACTGGAATGAGACAGTGTTGAACACACACTGGCACCCACTTTAGATTTATTGATTTTGCTTTTCAAGGGCTAGTTCCTTTAAACCTGCTTATGCTGTGTTGTGACTGATCCAGTGCTGCTGCTAGATTTAAATGTTAGCAATCTTGTGAAGGAACTTTAGCCTGCCTTTGGAAACTCATCCAACAGTGATTTCTCAACTAGATGGTTGTTGAGAAGGTGACAATCAGAGAGGAAGGGGAGATGTATGGTTTGAAAAGACGTTCTAAAATTAACAGTGCTTTAATATTTTTTAGACATCTTTAATTTGTTTTGAAATTTCAAATAACATTAAAGAAGAGTGAGACTTTTGTTTGTCAAAAGAGTCAAGGGGTGAGAGTTGAAAAACCCTGATCTACAAAGTTGATTTAAGCCAAATCAGACCAAAGGGCAGGTTAATTCCAGATTGTACTGTTTTGTTATGAGATATGTACGTAGAATAAGGAGGAAAGGGATACCTTATTCACATTCTTATGTTGAACTTGACCTCATTATTTGTACCTACCACCAGTCAGTTCTATTTTTATTCCCCCAATGGCAAGATAGGTTAATAATTGGATATAAGCTGATGATACTAGATTGAGCCTCATGAGGGTAAGGATCTCTAGCTAGCATCATACTAATCCCAGACACTATTTTTGAATTAAAGGATAGGAAAAATACTAAAATAAGCCTATACACAATAAGTGTTCTACTTTGTTCTTATTCAAATTAGCTTATTAAAATTTCCCCCAGGCCGGGCGTGGTGGCTCAGGCCTGTAATCCTAGCACTCTGGGAGGCCGAGGCGGGTGGATTGTTTGAGCTCAGGAGTACAAAACCAGCCTGAGCAAGAGCGAGACCCCGTCTCCACTAAAAATAGAAAGAAATTAATCAGACAACTAAAAATATATAGAAAAAATTAGCCGAGCATGGTGGCGCATGCCTGTAATCCCAGCTACTCGGGAGGCTGAGGCAGAAGGATCACTTGAGCCCAGGAGTGTGAGGTTGCTGTGAGCTAGGCTGACACCATGACACTCTAGCCCGGGCAAACGAGTGAGACTCTGTCTCAAAAAAAAAAAAAGAAGAAGAAATTTCCCCTAGAACTTTGTGTATGGGCTTGGGCAATTTCAGTGCTATAGGACCCAATCTCAGCATAACTGTTTTCTTTCAGAGCTGTAGAATAGATTCAAAATGTGATCTGGTTGATCATAAATGTTGTTTTTGGAGCCAGATTAGTGTTAAGTTACTTGAGAGAAATATGCAAACGTCACATTCATGGCCACCTTTTATTTGTGTTATTGCAGCCAGGTTCATCTGGTTTGCACATTGAAACCATAATACTTCAGGTTCTTATTGTGTCCAGAAGACTATGTGTAACATTCATAGCAAATTCATCACCTTTATTTCCTGAAAGTTGAGTTTTAAAAGAAAGATACCAAATGAGAGAGCAACCTTAAGTTTAAGCAAGTGGTGTGCATCAAGTTATAGATATTTAGTCCTCTAGGATTAAGAATTAGGTGAGAATTGGAACATGGAGAAATAATCCGTGATTAATAAAAGCCATGAAGCTGATCTTTTTTACAACAAAGCTATTTGCTTTTTTAATCATGTAGTGGCTGCTATTGGGCCAGTTCCAGAACTTTACTTAGTCCATTCTGTTCTGAATTAGCTTTTGATTGGTGGCATCTCAGAAGTTCTGAGGACTGGATAGAGAGAGCCAGTGTCAGTCCACTAAATGGAGCCGTTTGGAGATTACTAAATATTTCATAACCACAGAAAACATTTGAATATGTTGGTTGTTAAGGCCTTGTATTTTCCTTTTAGTATCATATCTTCATATGCAGTATTAAGGTAGGGAAGGAGATAAAATTTTTTCTAAAGGGAAGAGAAATCTAGAGTATATGAGTCTTAACATCCAAAGGCTTTCAAATGACATTGAATACAGTTCACCTGGTATGGTAACCTGCCATAGAACTAATAATAAGCTGCTTAGAGGCAGGGATCCGTATGGTATACAGAAAGACCCCTAGGCTTGGCATAAAAAATCCTGGGTTTTAATTCTAGCTCAACCAACTAATGTCTCTGTAACTTTAGAGACATCTGATGTCTCATTTAACCTTTCTGAGACTTGTTTCCTTCTCTGTAAATTGATAGTTACGATTCCTTCCTCACATGGTTATTTTGCAAGTATCAAATAATCCTCAAAAGTGCCATACAGAATATGTTATAGGATAGGAATTTCATCTTATTTATTTTTGTATCCAAGGAGCAATAAATGTACTTACTGAACAAAAGTAGTTTCTGCTTGAGACCAATAGTTTGAGGTTGTAGTGAGGCATAATGATGCCTCTGCACTCTAGCCTGGGCAACAGAGTAAGACCCTGTCTCAAAAAAAACCAAAGTAGTGGCTAAATTAGAAGTCTCAAGTGATAAATAAGTGAACGTGGTAAGAAATAATACTCCAGTTACACTCCCCAGAGACTGTTGAACATCCCTCTAGACCGTTTTTCATACATTACTCATAATATATATTCTGAAACTTTTTACATTTTTTCACTTACTATTGAATTCTTCTTTCTGTGTCATTGCCTTGTACTTTCTCCTTGTTTGTGTGCACAGTATCCCTTCAATATAAAAGTGCCATAATCCAATCCTTTGATGGATCTTTTTGTTGCTTTCTTTATCAGTATATTTAACAATATTACATCATAAAGCACTGTAAATACCTGAGTATTAATAAATATTTCCCTTGCCTTCTTAAAACAGCAAAAAAGAAGAATAAGAAGGGGAAGACTATCTCCCTGACAGACTTTCTGGCTGAGGATGGGGGGACTGGTGGAGGAAGCACCTATGTCCCCAAACCAGTCAGCTGGGCTGATGAAACAGATGACCTGGAAGGAGATGGTATTTTTTTCTTTTGTTGTCATATTTGGAATTTTAATTATCTTCTAGACAAAGCTAGTCTGTAATAATTCACATCTTGTGTAATTTGAAAATTCTTAGTCATTTTGTAACACCTGAAATCCTATGTATTTTATATAATCTTAGGGCTAATCTCAGGTTTGGGCTATCAGACTTTGCAATAGGGAGCTTTGCTAGTTCACGCTCTTGCATTAACAGGCTTTTCTCAAGTTACCATCCTTTTTTTAGGCATCATTTTCTCCATTTTAAAAATAAAGAGTAGATTATTTTTTAAATTCCTTTAAGTCTAAGATTCTGTGGTATTCTCATAAAGTGATAACTGCAGTATAATCTGTAAACTGCATTTACTCGGAGCCTAGGAATAATTAGTTCTAATAGTTATTGGTATGAAGTCAGGGTTTTCCTGGGTAAATTGAAAATGGTGTGAGGGGCCAGGTGTGGTGGCTCACGCCTATAATCCCAGTACTTTCAGAGGCCAAGCGGGGAAGGATTGCTTGAGGCCAGGAGTTTGAGACCAGTCTGGGCAACAAGTGAGACCCTGGAGACCCTGTCTCTACAAAAAGTAAAAATTAGCTGGGCTTGGTGGCTCCTGCCTGTACTCCTAGTTACTCTGGAGGCTGAGGCAGGAAGATCTCTTGAGCCCAGCAGTTCCAGGTTGCAGTGAGCTATGATTGTGCCACTGCACTTTAGTCTGGAAAACAGAGTGAGACCCCATCAAAAAAAAAAAAAAGGATATGAGGAAAAGGAATGATAACAATAATTATAGTGGAAAATACAGAAGAGTCATTGGGTGTCATTTGGACAAGCTATGCCTTCAGGGATAATGCCAGGAAGTTCTGTGCCAGGAATAATCAGGAGCTATTTTTTACAATTATCAAGTATGATATAAAACTGGTCACCATCATTTTTTCCTACAAAATTTTATTGCAGGCTGAAAGAATACTTTTTCTTTTGTGACCTATTTTCATAATTCCTGAAAACAGGAAATTTTATAAGTTGTACTTTCTGTAAGTGTTGGTATCTGAAGTACAAATTCATGGACAGAGCTGTAGGGAAAGATTTTTGTTTGGCTTTTTCCTTTTTTTTTTTTTTTTTTTGAGACAGAGTCTCACTGTGTTGTCCGGGCTAGAGTGCCGTGGCATCATCCTAGCTCACAGCAACCTCAAACTCCTGGGCTCAAGCGATCCTCCTGCCTCAGCCTCCCAAGTAGCTGGGACTACAGGCATGCGCCACCATGCCCGGCTAATTTTTTCTATATATTTTTAGTTGTCCAATTAATTTCTTTCTATTTTTAGTAGAGATGGGGTCTCGCTCTTGCTCAGGCTGGTTTCGAACTCCTGAGCTCAAACAATCTGCCTGCCTCGGCCTCCCAGAGAGCTAGGATTACAGGCCTGAGCCACTGCACCCGGCCTGTTTGGCTTTTTTTTAAGGAACAATAAACTCTGAAGAAAATAACTCTCCAGACCAACAGTAGGAATATAAGAGTTGTCAGTAATGGTTAAACACATATGGAGTGAGAGGGACTGAGGTTTGAATCCTAGCTCTGTTGCTCTGTGACCTTGGGCAAATTACTGTCTGAAATCTGAGTTTCCTTTTCTGTAGAATGGGGAACAAACTCACAGGATTGTTGCAAAGATGAGATATAATGAATATAAAGTACCTAACATTTCAGAAGCATTTTCTCTTTATAATGCACCACAACTTCTTTTGTGGTGGAATGTAAAGCACCCTTACCACCAAACTCCTCCCACCTTCTTTTGTTCTGTTGCTTTCCTGATACAGTGTGTTTAATACTTCGCAGTTAACATGGGCCCTCTTGTTCTAGGACAGTAGAAGGAGAGGTATCCTCTGATTTCTTCTCTCCTCTCCTCTATCCTAGTTTCAACCACTTGGCACAGTAATGATGATGATGTGTATAGGGCACCTCCAATTGACCGTTCCATCCTTCCCACTGCTCCACGGGCTGCTCGGGAACCCAATATCGACCGGAGCCGTCTTCCCAAATCGCCACCCTACACTGCTTTTCTAGGGAACCTGCCCTATGATGTGACAGAAGAATCGATTAAGGAATTCTTTAGAGGATTAAATGTAAGTAAAAGTTTTTTAGGCAATTATTGAGGGTAGTGACTAACATAAACTAATTGTGGAATGGGCAGCTGTTCTTAATTGAAAAAACAACTAGAAATGTAATATAGAATGAAGCAAAGTCAGGTATTCAGAGGAATACACTAAATTCATGTTTTTATTTTAGGGTTAAATTCATATGGTTCAAAATTCAAAAGGTGTATAATAGGGCATATAGCAAAGTCTCTCTTCTCTCCCTTTGCATCAGTTTTCTTCCTGGAGACAACCAGGTTCTTGTGTATTCTTCACAGAAATTCATTGCATACACTCGGATGTTTTTGTGGTTTAAAAAAATAAGGCAAATGAAAAGAACATTGGGAAACTTCTTTTGTTTCTTCTTCAGATCAGTGCAGTGCGGTTACCCCGTGAACCCAGCAATCCAGAGAGGTTGAAAGGTTTTGGTTATGCTGAGTTTGAGGACCTGGATTCCCTGCTCAGTGCCCTGAGTCTCAATGAAGAGGTAAAGAAAATAAGGGGGAAGGGTTGAGGGGGTGGGACTTTACAAATCTCATGTTTATCAATCAAACTGGTATCTTTTAGTTTGGGCGAGTAGCTATTTCAAAGACTCCCATAGTGTTTACAAAGGAAGGCCTGGGTTGTTTAACAATGTATCGCTTGACATCCAACATCTAGCAAGTCACACTTAGCAAATTCAGTAGGCCCCAATAATTCAGGGAGGCGCTTCGGTGGAAAATTGTGGAAGAAACCCACCACACACCATGTCTAAAATAAAATCTTAGTTCACTCACAGATAGTGTTAAAAGGCATTATCTCATTTTCAGGGAACTTTTTCTTTTTTTTTCAGTCCCACTCTGTTGCCCAGGCTAGAGTGCCATGGTGTCAGCCTAGCTCACAGGAACCTCAAACTCCTGGGCTCAAACAATCCTCTTGCCTCAGCCTCCCAGGTAGCTGGGACCAACAGGCTTGTGCCACCATGACCAGCTAATTTTTTCTGTTTTTAGTACAGACTGGGTCTCGCTCTTGCTCACGCTGGTCTCGGACTCCTGACCTTGAGCGATCCGTCCGCCTCGGCCTCCCAGAGTGCTAGGATTACAGGCGTGAGCCACCGCGCCCAGCCTGTAGTGGTATTTTTGATCATTCAAGAGGATTTGGAAGCATTTCCTACTAGGAATGTTTTATAGGAAAATGACAGTAAACATTCAGTCCTTCTGCTTTTTGACATTGCCCATAAATGTTTTCCTGTCCAGAGACACAAGAGGCTTATATCTGGGAAGAAAAAAAGCTTTTTTTCTTCCTTTAACTCCAGAAATCTCCTCATTGTTTCTTGATAAGGTGATTTCTAGTGCTATTTTTGCCATAATTCTGCCATTTGACATGATTGAAATCAACACCTCTTATAAATATTTTTGCTATCTCATTGTTGAGTAACATGATGATAATCTGAAAGCAATATCAAATACGGATAAAAATTCATACATAGTTAAATGCATATGAAAAGCTAAGGTTTTTCCAGAGTTGTTTGGTTTTATTGACATTAACTAGTCTTTAACTTCACTTAGTCTGCATAAGAAAAAGAATATCATGCAATTGTTATTTGTTGTTTGCTAGATTAACTATTAACATACTCTCATGGTCTGTATTTAGGAGTTACTTTATTATTTAGAGATTTCATTATAGTGGTACTTAATATAATTTTGAGTGGTTTTTTTTTTTTTTTTTTTTTTTTTTTTTGACAGAGTCTCACTCTCTTGCCCGGGCTAGAGTGCCGTGGCGTCAGCCTAGCTCACAGCAACCTCAAACTCCTGGGCTCAAGTGATCCTCCTGCCTCAGCCTCCCAGATAGCTGGGACTACAGGCATGTGCCACCATGCCCGGCTAATTTTTTCTATTTTTAGTTGTTTGGCCAATTTCTTTCTATTTTTAGCAGAGACAGGGTCTCGTTCTTGCTCAGACTGGTCTCGAACTCCTGAGCTCAAACGATCCTCCTGCCTTAGCCTCCCAGAGTGCTAGGATTACAGGCTTGAGCCACCGTGCCCAGCCAATTTTGGGTGTTTTTAACTAACATTCATTGTTACCCTTCTTCAACTTTAGATTCTACTATGAAATGAGGAAAAATCAGCAGTAGAATTAATTGGGTTCAAAGTATATAAATAATAGTGTGGGAAAGGAAAATCGGAAGGTTTCCCTAGAGGAACTGATTTATCCAGATGGTGAGTGAAAGAACCTGAGGCTACACGCAGAGCACACTTTATACAGTTTTGCTGGTGCATAATAGGGGCTCTATAAAAAAATTTTTTTGAGAATTGAAGTCTCATTATGTTGCCCAGGCAGGACTCATACTCCTGGGCTAAAAGCACTCCCCCTTCCTCAGCCTCCCAAGTAGCTGGGATTACAGGAATGTACCAGTGCACCTGGCTTCTATAATTGTTTGAATAAATACTGTGGCACCAGACACACCTTTTATTTAGCTAATTGTCAGGGAATTAATTAATTTTAGTTCATTACACTAATTAATTTTAGTTCATTACACTTAACAAGTTCGATAGTTAAAAAGTTAATTCTGTTCTGCAAAATTTGGTTTTATAAAAATAATGAGGTAACTGACCTGATACTCATGTAAGGCTAACTTAGATTTGTTAATTCCATTGGGCTATTTCCATTTTCAAGTCTTTTTTTTTTTTTTTTTAGGCAAGCACGAAAATGAGGTTTATTGAGGAGAGAAAGATGGGATTATAAGGCAAGAGCAAGATAATAGGTTTAGAGCATGGTACACACGCCACAGATGATGACTGGACGCATTGTTGCAGCAGGGCAAGCAAAAGGAAGGGCAAAGAGGGAAAGGGTTTTCAAATCTTTATAAAGGATTCTTTAGCCAATAAATTGGAGTGTTGGCTAAATTACAGTCTTTTTTAAAAAATTATTTGTTTTTAATTAATTTTTTGCTGGTTTTGTTTATTTTAACCGATAAACAACGTGGGAAGTCTTTATCTTCCTTCCCCCAGTGCTTCTGCTGTGCCCACTCATTCAAGGGGTGTGTGCATAACAAGGTAAAAGGTTGGTTAATATGGTCCTGTACTTTCAGTCTCTAGGTAACAGGAGAATTCGAGTGGATGTTGCTGATCAAGCTCAGGATAAAGGTAAGAAAACTGGTAGAAATTTGTTTGGTAATAATCCTAGGATGACAAAGCAGAGGTGTCCTTTCCCAGAAAATTTTAATAGAGGTAGTGGTGGGCCCACCTTAATCTAGAGTGACAGTTCTCAACCAGTTTTGCCCCACAGGGCTTTTGGCAGTTTTTGCAGACATTTTGGATTGTCACAACTAGAGGGAGTACTGCTGACATCTAATCAGTAGAATGCAGGAGTTAATCCTAAATGGGTAGGACAGCCCTGCCCACTACACACAACAAACAGTTATCCAGCCCAAAATGTTGTAAGTGTTGAGATTGAAAAGCCCTGATCAATCTAGATAAATACATTAACTACCTTGCAGCAGCTTAGGCACAAGAGAGACCTAATTCATGTATGTTTCAGGGACTCCTGGCCTATACAGAATATGAGATAAGCATTAAACCAATAGAAATAAATGTGAGGAAAAGAATCACCTAGTTGGGTTGTAGAGGGTTCTTTACAGGGCCCTGGGGCAACTTCGTGACGACAGTGTGCTGTAAGAGAGAATATGGTTAAAATGAGGGGGGGGTTTCTATATGTTTGAGAAATACTGGGCAAAGTTTTTATGAGCTAACTTATATTTGTTTGTTTGTTTGTTTTAATACAACTCTAGACAGGGATGATCGTTCTTTTGGCCGGGATAGAAACCGGGAGTCTGACAAAACAGATACAGACTGGAGAGCCCGTCCTGCCACAGACACCTTTGATGACTACCCACCTAGAAGAGGTGATGATAGCTTTGGAGACAGTAAGTTCGTTTTTATGAAGGTAGTTTCTTTTGTGTTCTCAGGGTTATTTAGTAATAGGACAGATGTATTATATAGATAGTCACATTAACAGACAGGAGAGAAAGTAGTATATGTAGAAAATATTCAAAAGAATTAATGGAGAAAAAGAATTTGGTAAATTCTTAATTTTAAAAAAACTGACCAAAGAATTAAAAGGACAGCAATTTTCTCCCCCTTTTTTGGAGACAATTGGTTTTTTTTGTTTGTTTTTGAGAAAGTCTTACTCCGCTGCCCTGAGTAGAGTGCCGTGGTGTCAGCCTAGCTCACAGCAACCTCGAATTCCTGGGCTCAAGTGATTCTCCCACCTCAGCCTCCCAAGTAGCTAGGATTACAGGCATGAGCCACCACACCCAGCCTGGAGACAGTTGTTTATAAAAAATACAATAGGCCGGGCACGGTGGCTCAGGCCTGTGATCCAACGACTTTGGGAGGCCAACTCAGGAGGATCACTTGAGGCCAGGAGTTTGAGACCAGCCTGGGCAACAGCAAGACCTTGTCTCTACAACAATGGGGGGAAAAATTACCAGGGCATGGTGGCAGGCACCTGTAGTCCCAGCTACTCAGGAAGCTGAGCCAGGAGGATCACTTGAGCCTTGGAGTTTTGAGGTTGCAGTGAGCTATAATGACACAACTGCACTCTAACTGGGGCAACAGGGAGAGACCCTGCCTCAAAAAAAATAAATACTAAGTGTCTACAATGTGCAAGACACTGGGCTCATGATGTAGTGAACAAAAATAGACAGAAAATCCTGTCCTCATTGAGCATACATTACAATGGGGAAAGAAACTGAATAAATAAAATATACTACAGGTGGGGATAGATGGAAAATGGGAATGTTGTGGGATAGGAGTAGGAATGAATTAATTACAACTTTTACAAACATCACCTAAATGTAACAAAAGGGTTGTAAAACCTTTATGAGGAAAATTATGCAACTTTATTAAAATATATGAAAAAAGACTCAACACTGTAATGTTTTTTTTTTTTTGAGACAAAGTCTCACTGTGTTGCCCGGGCTAGAGTGCCGTGGCGTCAGCCTAGCTCACAGCAACCTCAAACTCCTGGGCTCAAGCGATCCTCCTGCCTCAGCCTCCTGAGTAACTGGGACTACAGGCATGCGCCACCATGCCCGGCTAATTTTTTCTATATATTTTTAGTTGTCCAATTAATTTCTTTCTAGTTTTAATAGAGACGGGGTCTCGCTCTTGCTCAGGGTGGTTTCGAACTCCTGAGCTCAAACAATCCGCCCGCCTCAGCCTCCCAGAGAGAGCTAGGATTACAGACAGGAGCCACCGCGCCCGGCCAACACTGTAATGTTTTTTAAAATGGAAGGAACCTACTGTTGAGTAAATGAGTTAAGTAGTGGGTTTGTCTATATAATGAAATCCTTTATAGCATAACATACATGTAACAACATGGATAAAATTCAAAACCTGTTATATTAAGGGTGAAAGACAAATTTGTGTAAAAATTAGAAAAGAATAGTGTTAATGCATAAATTGTAAAAATTTAAGGGTACATGCATGGTAATATAACCACCCTCATGATTATACGTGGAGGTTGGGAGAATCCTGTTATATCTGTAACATCCTTTAAATAAAAAAACTGAAATAAACATGGCAAAATACTGACATCCACTAAACCTAAGTAATGGGTTCATAAGTTTGCTATAATTATTTTTCTGTATGTTTGAAATATTCAAGTAAAAAGAAGTGGAAAGAACAACTTAAGTTTGTAAACATTTTAATTCTGTGAGATACCTAGTGAGTTCCATACCAAATATAAGTGAGGAAGCAGTAAGACATATAATTCCGATTAGAGGAGAGTCCTCCTTAACCTAATGAGATGTAGAAGAAGGAAGAAAGAATGGGGCACAAGTCAGAAAGAAGAAATCAGCAAGTTTATATCTGACTTTTCATGTCTTTGTGACCCAACAAAGCCTTGGGAAGAACTACCCGAGATACTTCAGCATTTACGCAAGAGATTCTATTAACAGGAAGAAATGGCTCTTTAAAGAAAAAGCAGACAATCAGACCAAGCAAGGGTCCTGTTTTGAGTCAAGGGACATGACTATTTTCTCACCTGAAACCTTGAATTTAGGGCAAGCAGGATGGATAACAAGAAAGAGTGAGTGTGCTCTTGTTATCCAAAGCTGCCCCCAAATCACTTAGTTAACCTGAGTTAAAGATCCTAGATTATGCCAAGAGGTCAGAAACTCCTGTCCCAGGCATTAGGCCAAAAAAAGAGATCTTGGGGGCGGGGGGATATTATACTAAATATTACTATAAAATTTCAGTAATAGCATACCATTGTGCTTCTTTTCTCAGTATAAATCTGTGTTTTTTCAGGGAGTACTTACTATGAGTTTAGTAAGGACAGAGTACATCTGCCTTTCCAGAAATTATGAAAATACATTTCAAAATAATAAACACATGGATGATTTGGGGGTTTCGTGTTCTGTTTTAGATTATTTCCTGTATATAATGATTTTATTGACATTAGCATGTCCTTTAATTTATATAAAGTTTAAAGTGCCGAGTTATGTTTAAAATGCCGAATGTTATGTCTGGTCGCAAAAAATGATATGGTTTCCAAAATGAAATCATTGTTTATAAAAGGCAGCAGTCACAAACAGAAAATCTGTTTGGCCTACACACATAATTAGCCCTCAAAACATCCGTAAGTTTTTTAAATTGGTTCATATTTAGAAATTGAATAAAAATTTGGGTTTCCAACTTCTCTTAGAAAATTGGAAGATCCTTGCAACAGTCATCTGGAGATAAATAGCAGCTACACCTTTTATAAATGACTTCACTAGGCCGGGCGCGGTGGCTCACGCCTGTAATCCTAGCTCTCTGGGAGGCTGAGGCAGGTGGATTGTTTGAGCTTAGGAGTTCAAGACCAGCTTGAGCAAGAGTGAGACCCCGTCTCTACTAAAAACAGAAAGAAATTATCTGGACAACTAAAAATATATATAGAAAAATTAGCCAGGCATGGTGGCGCATGCCTGTAGTCCCAGCTACTCGGGAGGCTGAGGCAGTAGGATCGCTTGAGCCTAGGAGTTTGAGGTTGCTGTGAGCTAGGCTGACACCACGGCACTCACTCTAGTTGGGGCAACAGAGTGAGACTCTGTCTCAAAAATAAATGAATAAATAAATAAATAAATGATTTCACTATTCTCAGTTTGCCACCCAAGCCTCTCCTTTTCTTTATACAAATTTCTAGTACTTAGGGGGCCTCTGATATGCACATGTGTGTGTAAAATATAGTTTGTAACATAAACACTGCAGCGAATGTCCTTGTGCATTTGTCTTTATCATAGGTCCAGTTATTGCCTTAGGACAAATTCCTAGAAATTGAGTTGTTGGCCCAGAGGGTATACATGATTTTAAACTTTTTTTTTTTTTTGAGAGAGAGTCTCACTTTGTTGCCCCAGCTCTAGAGTGCAGTGGCATCATCATAGCTCACTACAACCTCAAACTCCTGGGTTCAAGCGATTTTCCTGCCTCAACCTCCCAGAATGCCAGGATTACAGGAGTGAACCACCATGCCTGGCCAACTTTAAACCTTTTAATGTATAGTTCTAATATAACTTTTCAGAGTGTTTGTACTATTTTAAACTCTGATCAGCAGCACAGGGATTGACTTATGCCCCTAAACTTTGCCAACACTAGATGTTATCATTTATTTTAATCTTTGCCCTTTTGGTGATAGAAAATGATGTCCTATTAGTTTTAGTTTCTTTTACTTAAGTAACAGACAGTTAATTAACCCCTAGTCATACATTGCATATATTATTCCCATTTTGTCTGCCTTTCAGATTGGTAGTACATGTATTTTCCCATGCTAAACTTTTTTAAGTGGTCTTTAGTTCTTTGGTATCAAGCATAGAAGATTCCAACTATATTCTTACAGTGTTTTGTGCTCACATTTTTTGGTATTTAAATTGTTATCCTTCTGGAAATTCATTGTGGAATATATAGAGATTATATATTCCTCCCAAAATTGCTAGCCCAGCAGCATTTATTTCACCAGGGAAATTTTTTAAAGAAATCAGATCAATAGTGAAAAATAAGTAACTTAAATAATTCCACTTGGGACAAAAATGATTCATTTATTTAAAAACTGAGACAGTAGTGAATAGGAACTCTTGATACCAAATTGATCTAATGGGTTACCATGTTTCTTTCTATTAATGGTGTCAAAGAAAAGAGAGTAATGTTACCTGTCTCTTTTTTCTCTAGAGTATCGAGATCGTTATGATTCAGATCGGTATCGTGATGGGTATCGGGACGGGTATCGTGATGGCCCACGCCGGGACATGGATCGATATGGGGGCCGGGATCGCTATGATGACCGAGGTAGCAGAGACTATGATAGAGGTAATTATAAAATACAATTAAGTTGCTTTCTTTAAAGAACTCCTTTTTTTCCATTCATTGTGGTGATCACAATTGGGGGTATGTTTACAGGCTATGATTCCAGGATAGGCAGTGGCAGAAGAGCATTTGGTAGTGGGTACCGCAGAGATGATGACTACAGAGGAGGTGGGGACCGCTATGAAGACCGATACGACAGACGGGATGACAGATCGTGGAGCTCCAGAGATGATTACTCTCGGGATGATTATAGGCGTGATGATAGAGGTAATCCTTTTCTTTTGCTTGCTTAATGGAGCAGACACTGGGAAAACCATGGAAAATTTGCAGTTGTGTTTCAAACCCCTGAAGCGGGCACAACCAGTTTTCACATTGTAAAGCAGCAGCAGAGCATAGTCCAGAGAGCATTGGCTAAGAATGACTTTAATAGAAGTAAATCAGAGTCTAGTTCTTTTCATCTTATATGCTAGCACATAAATTTTTCAGTGAAATTTATTGAATAAACAGTAGAAATGGAAAAAAAAAAATTGCCAGACAGTCTTATGGCATGATCTCATTGAATAAATTACATTTAAAATAAGTGATGGTTAGCCCCGTTTTTCAAGTTAAGGAAATGAACTCAGATTAAAGACAGTTCCATGGCCAGTAATTGGTATTATGGGGTTAAAGACCAAGTGTTGCTGATTTCAGTGCCCTTATACCACAATAATTGGTTCATTAATTGTGAGATTTCAGTGTACCTGTTCCAAAACTCTGCCTCTAATACTAGAACATATGAAACATGTACTGTTTCAGATCTGACCTGTAAGAAATTACTAATAAATGACCACCATTTGTGTTCTAAATTTTGTGATGTCATTAAAAAAGGTTAAGATATCTTGGCCCAGAATTTTTTTCTTTTATCTAACATCCCAAGATGTTTATCTAACATCTTGAATTTTGTACCAAGGGTTTTATATCCATCATTTCCCATAATTCCTCAGAAGGGAAGATAGACCTGGACAGTTAGTAAAACACAATGAGGTGACAGAATTCATCAACATTGTATGGAAATTGTACTGCGGTAAAGTCTTTCCTCCTTCCTCAAACAAAAATAAAACAAAAAAGTTTTAATGTTTTGGTTTTTATTATAAATTTTAACTCATTCTTAAATTATTATCTATTTTCTCAAGAATCCTAAAACTAATAGCTAACATTGTTGAGCATTTACTCTGTACCAGTAGTAAGCTGAGTGCTTGTATTGTTTAATCCTTAGAATTCTATGTGGTGTAGGTAAAGTTATGTCCACTTTACAAGTGAGAAAAGTGGAGCTTTGATGGTGGGTCTCAAGTCCTCCTTGACTTCTGACCTTTTCCTCTCTCACACCATTCCTTACCTTCCCTAATAGCTGTACACCTTATTTTTTCTCCTGTTCATCCTACCACCAACTCCCTCTAAGACCTGCCCACTTTGTCCTGAGTCACTGCTGCTGCCTTTGTTCAGGCCTCATTGCTGTCCCCGTATTACTGGCAATTGCCTCCTAACAGGTTTCCCTGCCTCACTCCATTCTTCACACTAGTCCCAGTTGTCTTTCTGGAACAAAATCTTATTGGATTATTCGGCTCCTTCAGAGCTTTCTAGTCTCCCCATGGCCTGAAAGATAACCCTGGGTCTATACTTCTGACATGCAGGGGCCTTTGCTGTTCCCCTGCAGTTTACTTCTTAAGCATTATCTCCCATCCCTTCTGCATCTACCTGTGGGATGCATGCTCAGCATTGAAGATTGCTCAATTGTTACCACTTTGCAGGCTTCCCCAAACACAGTCCTAGTCTTGTATCTTTCATATGGATAAATCTATTTTGTTGAACTTAGCATACTGTATTCTTTTTTTTACTCTAGCTCTCCCACTAAATTGCGCTCCTTGTAGACAGGGAGAAACCATCTTATTTCTGGCTTAACACAGTATCTAACATACAGCTGCTTGATAAAATTATTGGCTGGGTATTTAAGTGGACATTCTTAAAGAAGATGGAGACATTGTGTACTATAGTGCTCCCAGTAGAGTTGCTTCAGTAATACGGATTTCATTTTCTGGTCCAGCCAGTGTTAGCTATGTGTCTTAAGAGAACTACTCTTTCTGAGCCCGTTTTATCTTATAAAAGTAAGGATAGTGGCCCCTTAACAAAGTTACACAGATTAAAAATGTTAGCCAAGTGCAGTGTGTGTGCCTGTACTCCTATCTACTCAGGAGGCTGAGGTGGGAGTATTCTCAGAAACTATAAAATATCAGCTTAAAGCCATTATAGAAAATGTAAATCTTGCTAAACAATACCCTCTTTGCAGATATACACAGTTGTAGTGAAAGTTGTCGTGTATGGTGGGCATGATAAACAGTCCACGTCTAGTTTTTGTGAGAGGACAGAGCACAGCTGGGCATGTCATCAGGAGGAGGCATTAGCTCTTTTGTGGGGTAACATTACTTAAGCCAGGTGGTTGTACCCATGGGCTTTCTTTGTATTTGCTATATTTTCTATATGTCTAAAGTATTTAGTATAAGCAACTATTTTCAGAATTATAATTTCCTTAAAACACTTAGGTTTATATTGAAAATGTTCTGACAACTTGGATCAAGGAAGAGATCAGACTCCCTTAGAATTTATATTCATATGTTCAATGTTGCATGATTGCCCTATGAATCACATGTCAAATTTATATTATATGCAGAGACAAGAATATAAGAACTAGAATCTTCCCTATCATATTGTTACAACCTCCTTAACCTACTGAAGACACCTATCTACCAGACCAGATTTTTGAACAAGATACTTTCGTCCAATAGTTTAATCATGGTCGAAAATTTCTTCCCAGGTAAAAATAATCATAATAAATGATTAATTTACCATTTAAATTTTTACTATATTTAGTCTTTATGGTCTGGTACTGCATTGTGGATGTGGTAGAGGAAAGAGTAATTGGACTTGTTTGTTTAAGCTACCCATTCTTTAATGATCTCCCATCTACCTTCTCTGCTGGATTGGCTAGGCCACTAACCTAAATCCCATACAGCATTTCCTATGTCTGGGAATCTGGCTCTCAGCCATCAGCTTCTGACAATTTGGAAAACTATTACTTAGAGTTTCATTTAACTTAGGTCCCCCCCAAAGACCCAAACTGAATCTAAAGCCTCGGAGTACTCCTAAGGAAGATGATTCCTCTGCTAGCACCTCCCAGTCCAGTCGAGCGGCTTCTATCTTTGGAGGGGCAAAGCCCGTTGACACAGCTGCTAGAGAAAGGGAAGTAGAAGAACGACTACAAAAGGAACAGGAGAAATTGCAACGTCAGCTGGATGAGCCAAAACTAGAACGACGGCCGCGGGAGAGGTACAGTTGTCTTCAGTGATGGATTTCCCATCTATGAATCCAGTGGTTCTTTTTTTTCCCCCAAGACAATGCCCAGGTAGCCAGTGGTTCTTAATGGAGGCATTATATCCCCGCGGACATTTGGGAATTTCGTGTGGTTGTTACTGGTTGTCACTGATTAGCATTTAGTGGGCTGGGAGTATTGGGCAATCTACAGTGTATGGGACAGTTTCACACAATGTCCATTACAAAGTGCTTACCATGAAAAGGTGGCATTGTATATAATGGGGTAGAGACCTCCTATAATAAATAATCGTTTTGAAAAACTGGGCCTAGTTATGAATGGCTTGTAGAATTGTGTTAATAGTAAGAGGGGGTGATATTGTAGACCATGTAGGAGAATGTTCTTAACCTTATTAGCTGGTTCTTTGTGAAGTATGCCGAGCCAAAGTGTGTCTTAATTGCAGCTTTCAAATAGTTTAAGGAAAAGATATATACACACACACCCATAGATAAAGTAAGTGTGCTAAAATGTTAATAAGTGATGGTTCCTGAGAGGTTAGCATGGGTCCAGGGTGGCCCTTTACTGAGCCAGACATAACGTATGTTGTTTAATCTCTTTTGTACAGACACCCAAGCTGGCGAAGTGAAGAAACTCAGGAACGGGAACGGTCGAGGACAGGAAGTGAGTCATCGCAGACTGGGACCTCAGCCACATCTGGCAGAAGTAAGTCAGGCCTGGGTGGGTATCGTGTTATTGCCGTTTTCCATGAATTGTCCATAACCAAATTGTGCACAGACTTTGCAGTATTACATTCAGTCATGACCTCTCTATTTGGTTTAGCATGGACTGATTGGTGTTGCACATCTTCTCCAAAAGATCTAAGGAATGGGCACCAGAATAGGCTTAGATGATGTTTTTAATAATCTGCCACTAAAGAGTATACTTGACTGTTAGATTTGTCACTTCATTTTATGTCTTGACATCTTAGAGCTTTGTTTATTCGGCATAGTCTTAGGCCTGATGTTCTGTGTGAGGCAGGGCCAGCCAGTTTTGATGTTGTATATTATTATAACCAGAGCAGTGTTCTCAAGCCATGTTATTTTGGTCCTAATTCTTCCTGATTACTGGTTGATCATAAGCACTTGTAGTGGTTTTGGAACCTAAGTAATTCAATTATAACACCTCCCTTCCCTTACTGTGGTTTTTTTAAGGTCTTTCCTCCCACCTCTGAATTGATTTGTGCTTGAGCATTTCAAAACACGGCTCAAGGCTGAAGTGATTTGGAAATTCATCCAAGTATTGTAGGAGTTTTCTGGAAATTAATTCATACTACAGTAGTCTGTTAGTAACAGAATGTAATGCCCCCTTTTGTGCCATTACGGTAGAAGTATAATATTGTTCATTTAATTTGTGTACATATTTCTGTTGAGCTTGCACTTAAAATGTAGAAAGAATACGACAAAACAGGCTTCTGGTTTTAAGGAGACATTTAATTGCTTTTTTAAAAAAGTTATGTGTTCTATTTTTCATAAATGTGATTGTATCACAGCCTGCGTGTATATGTTGAGCTTCTATTCTAAGTTAGAGTTTAGCAGTGGTTACTGGAGTTTGGGGTTTTCCTCATAAGGGCCCTTCACACATACATACACATACCTTTCTCCAGGTCAGAACATTTTAACATAGAAAATGTAGAAAGGCTATATAATCTTGCATTAAAAGACACTCATGCCTAAAAAGGCCAGATGGCTGGCTATCTTTTAAGATGTATACACAATTATTGTTATCCCTATTTCTGTGTGTATCAGTAAAACATTGTTTTTTTTTTTTTTAGGTTTAAATCTATATCAACTGAGTTGGTTTTTTTTTTTTTTCTTTTTCTTTTATTTCAGCATATTATGGGAGTACAGATGTTTAGGTTACGTATGTTGCCCTTGGCCCACCCCCCCCAAGTCCGTGTTTCAAATATGTCCATCCTTCGGGTGGTGCGCATTGCAGTCCTTAGTAAAACATTGTTTTCAGGATGACATTTAGAAACCACTAGGTTAGGGATAATTATTTCACCTATTGGGAGGCAAATTAGGGTCTTCATTTAAGAGTAAGCGATGGAGGCTGGGCGCGGTGGCTCACGCCTGTAATGCTAGCACTCTGGGAGGACAAGGCGGGAGGATCGCTCAAGGTCAGCTTGAGCAAGAGTGAGACCCCATCTCTACTAAAAATAGAAAGAAATTAGCTGGACAACTAAAAATATATAGAAAAAATTAGCCAGGCATGGTGGCACGTGCCTGTAGTCCCAGCTACAGGGGAGGCTGAGGCAGAAGGATTGCTCGAGCCCAGGAGTTTGAGGTTGCTGTGAGCTAGCCTGATGCCATGGCACTCTAGCCCAGGCAACAGAGCAAGACTGTGTCTCAAAAAAAAAAAGAATAAACAATGGAAAGCAGTAAATTTGGATGGTGGACCATTTTTCACTCTGTTGAAATCTTGGTGGATGATGTATGATAAGCTTTCCCAACGCCCCCTCACTGCCCCCCAATAATTTGATCTTTTCACTCTGGATTCACAGGTGTGCGAAGGAGAGAGAGTGAGAAGTCTCTAGAAAATGAAACACTTAATAAGGAGGAAGACTGTCACTCTCCAACTTCTAAGCCTCCCAAACCTGATCAGCCCCTAAAGGTAATGCCAGCCCCTCCACCAAAGGAGAATGCTTGGGTGAAGCGAAGTTCTAACCCTCCTGCTCGATCTCAGAGCTCAGACACAGAGCAGCAATCCCCTACAAGGTGAGTCAGCCTGGAAACAGCAGTTGATTAGCCACAGAACCTTAAATATTGTGATATAATGGTGGAAAATGCCCAGTGGGATGTTGGCCTTCTAAGTTACGCTGTCCTCAGTGTGCTGGAGCTGGCTTGTCAGAGTCAGTTGTTCAGTTTTCTGGAGTCCATGAATGTTTACGTTATTGCTTTCATTGTTGTCGTTCCTATATTTTAATGTTCTATAATGTTATGTGGTGGGAGGTTTTTTTGTTTGTTTTCTGTAAAGCTTACTACAGGTGAAGGATGATTAAAGATTAAAGGTTTCTTTACCTGTTCTCTCCCTGAAACAACTGATGAGTGTGATTGCTTGTTTTCCTTCTAGTGGCGGGGGGAAACCAGCTCCAGCTCAGCTGTCTGAGGAAGGACCAGCAAGGAAAGGTGAGGACATACTAAGGGAAATGGGCCTAAATAAAAAGGCCTCCAGAATCAAATTTTGGACTGCAGTGTATCTTGCACCTGATTTTGTGTTAAAGGTTCTTGGATTATCTACCTTTTCTTGCCAGTAGGGGGCAGGAGTGACCTCTTTGGAGAAAGCTTGCAGCCCTCCCTTTCCCGGCAGAACATTTCTTTGAAAGGGGCAGAAAAAAAATCGGAAGGAAATTAACATGTTCAATCCAGATTAAAAATGTCATCATCAGCAAGGCCAAGGTCACTGCAGAGTGTCATAGTTCTTATTTTCAGCTAGCTTTTCATGATGGCGTAACCTTACAGTGGAACTTTTTAGTGGATCTTGTTTGGTTTTTTTGTGTATGTGTGATATAGAGGACGTGGGAATAAAGGCTTTCAATTTCCTTCAGTACATACAGGCACAGTTATCTTCAGCTTAAAGGAAATCTAGGAGAGCGAGTGATTATTTTACTTGCCTTTGATTTGTTTTTACATTACTGCTCGAGCAGATGAAAATAAAGTAGACGGGATGAGTGTCCCAAAAGGCCAAACTGGGAACTCCAGCCGTGGTCCAGGAGATGGAGGGAACAAAGACCACTGGAAGGAGTCAGATAGGTATGCACATTCTCTTTCTCATCATTTCTAAATCTTTCCTCTGGTGTTAGATGCACATGGCTTTGTAATTAAGTTCTTGGTTTTCCAAGCTCTGCCCAATCCCTCATTGTGAACAAACTAAAGTCAACCAGTATAGACAGTTACAGTTCTGAGAATCTAGAAATAATACATCGTCCAGATAGCAAGAACTATTGACTGGAGGTGCCTGTTCAGTGCTTTAAAACTATGTGCATGCACATGTGTGTTGGGGAGTCCTCACCTAAAGATGTGGTTTTACGCTTACATCTCTGCAGGAAAGACAGCAAAAAGGATCAAGACTCCAGATCTGCACCTGAGCCAAAGAAACCTGAGGAAAACCCAGCCTCCGTAAGTGTTTTTAAAGGCTTGCTTGCAACTTCTCTTAGCTCATTTTTGCCATCTAACTTCTTCACGTTTGAGGCTACAGAGCGATTGGAAATAAGGCATTGGTGTTTATGCAGAATAGTGGAAGAAATTTAAATTAGTTTTTCCCCCATTTCCATCTTTCTCCACACTCATCCCTTCTGCAAGGTAAAGGTGTTATATGAATACAGTAAGGTCACACATGCCTCTGACCCTCTTTCCCCGCGCTGCTCTCCAGCAAGCTGGTGTAGCCTGGACTATCATGGCCTATTTGCCAAAGTATGAGTATCCTGTTTCTTGGGTTTTGACGTCACAATTCAAGGCCTTCGATATCTTTTCACTCTAATCTGTTACAGAAGTTCAGTTCTGCAAGCAAGTATGCTGCTCTCTCTGTTGATGGTGAAGATGAAAACGAGGGAGAAGATTACACCGAATAGACCTCGACATCCTGTGCTTTCACCTAGTCTCTCTCCACCCTGGAACATTCGAGAGCAAATCAAACCTCTTTCCAGACAAGACAAAATAAAACTCACCATCTCCTGGAAACCTTTCTTAACTTTTTTTTTAAAAAATGAAATGAAATTCTTTTGCATGCTGCTGCAGCCTTTAAAGTATTGAAGTAACTGGAGAATCGCCAATGTAGCCAGAGAGAGAGACTACAGCTTTTTTAATGGAAAAGTTGTGCGTTTTTTTATGACACCATGCAGTTGCCTGTGTGATTAGTGCCTGGGGGACTCCATTTAGCAGAAATGTAATGACTGTGATATGATGTCTGGAATCTGGGCAGTAGGGGAGGTATAAGGAAGAGTGTGAGATTTCCACCTTTTAATTCTTATCATATTGTGGCATATATGAATTCTCAAACATTATCTGAATAAATTTTCCATCCTTGGAAAGGTAGATTTAGCCTCTCAAATTGTGTTAGTCTCCAGGAGGCTGCTAGCCCCTCCTCTTATTTAATTCTGAGTTATTGGGGCCAGCCTAGGGGGAATTCCTTCATTTTTTACCCCCCACGGGGGTAGTTGGGAGTGAGTTATAGGCCGCTAAAGAATAGGACTGCTTGGGACCAAAATAAATGGGAAAATCGTGGTTTGAAAAGAAGCTTTTGGGAGGTGATGAATCATTTTGCACCAGCTTATAGGGGAAAATAGTGTGAACTCCAATAAACACATGAATGGTTATTTCCTGGAGCAGGAAGCGCTTTGGGGTCTTGGGAATTCCCAGTCGTCTGTGTCCTGGTTTTGCCCTTTCTAAACACTCTCCTTTTTGAAAGTTCAAATATATCCACATTCTGTTGAAACCTTGAAGCTTTGAAAATTTAGATTCTTGTCATTGTCTTAAGTTCATGGTACTCTTAGCTCCCAAAAAGCAGTCTCTAAGTCACATACCTATTATCTAGGGCATTTTATATCTCAGCCACTGGGAGCTGTGAAAGGAAGAATCAATGCTTTTCTCAAGCAAATTGGTTCCTTGTTGTATTTGACTCTCCTTCCCTCCATCCATGCCTGCTCCTGCTGCTTTGACCCCTTTTACAGATCAGAATACTCTAGAATTGATGGACTTGGGTGGTAAATAAAAGTGGATAAATAGGGACAGTTAAATTGGGAGCCTTTCTTACAACCACAATTGGGTTTTGTTTTCCACCCCCACCCCCAAATTTCTTTCTCTCCACCGAAATCCCACACCAGTGCTTGGATTTATAATGTGGCCTAGAGTGTGTATGTGTGGTTTTTTTGTTTTGTTTTTTTAAGTTTCCCTTAAGAGAGTAAATGGTAATGGAGAGCGCTGTTTAACAAGGTCCTGGTTTCTCTTGCAACACAGTAGCTAAACTTGCCTGCTTCTATGTGCAACTTTGTAGGGGTCAGCTGGGTAGATGGTATCCTTTCCCATCATGGGCAATATAATATTAGTACCTGCAGAAATGACACCTTGGTCTCTTGTTTGCAAGCCCTTTTCCCATCAGTCCTAGGTTCGACTGTGTCCAGCCATGCAGAGGTGTGGGTTTATGTGTGCTGCAGCAGTGGGCATGAGGAATAATTTGCCAAGTGGACAAAAGGTACACCAAGTGAATTAGCTTTACATAATTGACATGAATTGGCTAGTAGCTAGAAAGTGGGCTTTTAAAGAGAGATACCCAAGGTTGAAAGG